TGCCCAAGAGCCAGGAATGGGTGCCCAAGAGCCAGGAATGGGTGCCCAAGATCCAGGAATGGGTGCCAAGAGCCAGGAATGGGTACCCAAGAGCCAGGAATGGGGGCCCAAGAGCCAGGAATGGGGGCCCAAGAGCCAGGAATGGGGGCCAAAGAGCTGGGAATGGGAGCCAAGAGCCAGGAATGGCTGCCAAGAACCAGGAATGGCTGCCAAGAGCCAGGAATGGGTGCCAAGAGCCAGGAATGGGTGCCCAAGAGCCAGGAATGGGAGCCAAAAGCCAGGAATGGGGCCCCAAGAGCCAGGAATGGCTGCCAAAAGCCAGGAATGGGTACCCAAAGAGCCAGGAATGGGGGCCCCAGAGCCAGGAATGGGTGCCCAAGAGTCAGGAATGGGTGCCCAAGAGCCAGGAATGGGAGCCAAAAGCCAGGAATGGGTGCCCAAGAGCCAGGAATGGGTGCCAAGCGCCAGGAATGGGTGCCAAGAGCCAGGAATGGGTGCCCAAGAGCCAGGAATGGGGGCCAAGAGCCAGGAATGGGTGCCCAAGAGCCAGGAATGGGGGCCAAGAGCCAGGAATGGGGGCCAAAAGCCAGGAATGGGTGGCCAAGAACCAGGAATAGGGGTCCAAGAACCAGGAATGGCTGCGAAGAGCCAGGAATGGGTGCCCAGGAACCAGGAATGGGTGTAGGGAAATTCATAAAGATACAAGCACCTCTCTCTCTTACACACACACACTTAGTTCATCTTTAAGCTTACAGCACAATAATCACCTAGTTACCTACCTTACCCCAGCACTGAATGCAAAGTTAAAACTCTTCACTCTGACCCCTACGTTGAAAACATGACCTATAAATTTAACGAAATACGTCCATCATACATATCGATTTTATTTCCATTTTACGTACTCAAAAAATATACATTAACACACATCAAAATATAACAATATAAATTAGTCACACACACATATATATATATATATATATATATATATAATATATATATTATATTATATATATATATATATATATATATATATATATATATATATTTATATATATTGAGTTATCTAAATTCATATTATATCAAGGAGTATATCAATTATATTGATTAAAATGTTAAAAGAATATATATCACAATGGCATGGGGATTACTTTTGATATCATGTCGATCAATGATGAGATGAATGTGTGAAGACAACAGCCTTCAGTATGAATGGTGATTACAACAGTCAGGAGGTCATTACTCCCTAACGAGGAGAGAGCCTTGAAACAAGGACTTTAGTAGATCTAAGTTTAATGATGTCATTCGATACATGTTTCGTGTTGTGGGGGGGGGGAGATGGGTGATGTTGCATTGGTGGTTGTGGTGGATTGTGGTGGATTGTGGTGGTTGTTGGGGGGGGTTTGATAGGGTGGTTTGGGCAGTTAGGGTTGGGGGCGAGTGCCCTCTTTTGTTGGGAAGTGTAATTTTGGATATATAAGGAGTACGTGCTCTGGTGGATGACATCCACACCCATACCTTCAACACTGGTGGATGACATCCACACCCATACCTTCAACACTGGTGGATGACATCCACACCCATACCTTCAACACTGGTGGATGACATCCACACCCATACCTTCAACACTGGTGGATGACATCCACACCTACACACTCACTACCCAAAACAAACTCGACCAGAATCTGTCATTTCCTAAGACGATTCATATTTTTTTTACCCTCCAAGTACTGAGCATCAAGATAAGCTGTGCGGACATCTTCAAGAGGAAACTAGATTTATTCCTCCAAGGAGTGCCGGACCAACCGGGCTGTGGTGGGTATGTGGGCCTGCGGTCCGCTCCAAGCAACAGCCTGGTGGACCAAACTCTCACAAGTCAAGCCTGGCCTCGGGCCGGGCTTGGGCAGTAGAAGAACTCCCAGAACCCCATCAACCAGGTATATGTGGGCCTGCGGTCCGCTCCAAGCAACAGCCTGGTGGACCAAACTCTCACAAGTCAAGTCTGGCCTCGGGCCGGGCTTGGGGAGTAGAAGAACTCCCAGAACCCCATCAACCAGGTATATGTGGGCCTGCGGTCCGCTCCAAGCAACAGCCGGGTGGACCAAACTCTCACAAGTCAAGCCTGGCCTCGGGCCGGGCTTGGGAGTAGAAGAACTCCCAGAACCCCATCAACCAGGTATATGTTGGCCTGCGGGCCGCTCCAAGCAACAGCCTGGTGGACCAAACTCTCACAAGTCAAGCCTGGCCTCGGGCCGGGCTTGGGCAGTAGAACAACTCCCAGAACCCCATCAACCAGGTATATGTGGGCCTGCGGTCCGCTCCAAGCAACAGCCGGGTGGACCAAACTCTCACAAGTCAAGCCTGGACTCGGGCCGGGCTTGGGCAGTAGAAGAACTCCCAGAACCCCATCAACCAGGTATCAACCAGGTATCAACCAGGTATCAACCAGGTATCAACCTGGTGTGTTCTTGTGGAAGACGAGAGACAAATGCCTGCCATCTTGGAGACACGGCGAAGCAACTAGCGTTTTGGTACGCGGTCAAACGTCCTCTCAATATCTTCCTATCAACCCATACCAAAAAAAATAAACATACAGGAGCTGGAAACTACAGATGGGAAGAAAAAATTTAACATCCGGTGGTACAGTAGCCTACGTTTTCGATCGCGAAGCGGGATAGATATGATTGGGCACGTTTACCTGAGGCCTCTGTTCACCCCCCAGACATGGAAGCAACTGATAACATACCTTGTGATAGTGGAGTTATCCCTCGAGGAGATTCACAGTATATAACCTTACCTGTAATGGAATAAATGGAATTATTCGCAGGTTGTAGTGAAATTATTTGTTTACGTTTTAATAGTCATACTTCACAAATATAAACAAACCATTTAACGAATTATGGTTATTTTAACCCATAGGCAGCGAAGGACAGGAGCTACGGGCTCACCATAGCCCGTGCTACTTGCCCCGCTCCTGTGCCAGGTAAGTCCACTACGGGCTCACCATAGCCCGTGCTACTTGCCCCGCTCCTGTGCCAGGTAAGTCCACTAGGGGCTCACCATAGCCCGTGCTACTTGCCCCGCTCCTGTGCCAGGTAAGTCCACTACGGGCTCACCATAGCCCGTGCTACTTGCCCCGCTCCTGTGCCAGGTAAGTCCACTACGGGCTCACCATAGCCCGTGCTACTTGCCCCGCTCCTGTACCAGGTAAGTCAACTATGGGCTCACCATAGCCCGTGCTACTTGCCCCGCTCCTGTACCAGGTAAGTCAACTATGGGCTCACCATAGCCCGTGCTACTTGCCCCGCTCCTGTGCCAGGTAAGTCCACTACGGGCTCACCATAGCCCGTGCTACTTGCCCCGCTCCTGTGCCAGGTAAGTCCACTACGGGCTCACCATAGCCCGTGCTACTTGCCCCGCTCCTGTGCCAGGCAAGTCCACTACGGGCTCACCATAGCCCGTGCTACTTGCCCCGCTCCTGTGCCAGGTAAGTCCACTACGGGCTCACCATAGCCCGTGCTACTTGCCCCGCTCCTGTGCCAGGTAAGTCCACTACGGGCTCACCATAGCCCGTGCTACTTGCCCCGCTCCTGTGCCAGGTAAGTCCACTACGGGCTCACCATAGCCCGTGCTACTTGCCCCGCTCCTGTGCCAGGTAAGTCAACTATGGGCTCACCATAGCCCGTGCTACTTGCCCCGCTCCTGTACCAGGTAAGTCCACTACGGGCTCACCATAGCCCGTGCTACTTGCCCCGTTCCTGTGCCAGGTAAGTCCACTACGGGCTCACCATAGCCCGTGCTACTTGGAACTTGTTCCAAGTAGCTGAATCTATAACAACAAAACAACTTTAGCGAAGGTGTGACTTGAGTCTCTAGCTTCTGCCCACCTTGTAAGGACGAGGCGGCAGATGACACAGTGCCCCAGGGATGCACTGGCTCCTGCTGGGTATGGGGCCAGCAGACAAGGAGCGAATAAGTGATGCCCGCGGCGCAAATTATTACACCAGCCACGACACACACACACACAGCCATCACACACACCAGCGAACCTGACAATGGGCTCACCGGGGCAGGTGGAGGGTAGAGGTTAGTTCCCCCAAGCGGTGGTTCGCTTGTTTCACGCGTTCGAATCGCCAGCAGAGTCACCCCGTGTTTATATATGTAAAATATTCTAAATAGGGTTGTTGTTTATGATTCAGCTACTGGGGATATAAAGTTCCAAGTAGCACGGGGTATGGTGAGCCCGCAGTGGACTTACCTGGCACAGGAGCGGGGCAAGTAGCACGAGCTATGGTGAGCCCGTAGTGGACTTACCTGGCACAGGAGCGGGACAAGTAGCACGGGCTATGGTGAGCCCGTAGTGGACTTACCTGGCACAGGAGCGGGGCAAGTAGCACGGGCTATGGCGAACCCGTAGTGAACTTACCCGACACTATATATACCTCACAATTTATCAACGAAACACTATATTAAAGTCATTTTTACTTAAACCACCCAAAAAAAATATTCTTCCTACACATTAACTGCCCAATTGTCTCTTCATTCTTAGATATATTAACAAAGTTAATAACAACATTAACCTCTTGAGAAGAAAAATTTATCGTGCCATAATTACATATAAACACCCCCCCCCCCCCACACACACACACATCCTCACTACCTCTCGATAGACGCGATAACAGGCGTTGTGTGACGGCACAATAGACAATTGTTCGAGAGCTTTTATCCGGTCGCTAATTACCTTTCTCTCATCAACCTGTCCTCAATACGAAGCCAAGCATTATAACTCAATAAGTTTAAAAATAATGCTTCACAAGACCGGGCTCTCTCTGGCTTTACAAAATGTGTAACATTATTTATAAATTGCTAATGAACACGATATTGTTCACCTCTTATACAATACCGTACAAAGACCTATTATACAATACCGTTCAAAGACCTATTATACAATACCGTACAAAGACCTGTTATACAATACCACACAAAGACCTATTATACAATACCGTTCAAAGACCTATTATACAATACCGTACAAAGACCTATTATACAATACCGTTCAAAGACCTATTATACAATACCGTTCAAAGACCTATTATACAATACCGTTCAAAGACCTATTATACAATACCGTACAAAGACCTATTATACAATACCACACAAAGACCTATTATACAATACCACACAAAGACCTATTATACAATACCACACAAAGACCTATTATACAATACCACACAAAGACCTATTATACAATACCACACAAAGACCTATTATACAATACCGTACAAAGACCTATATACAATACCGTACAAAGACCTATTATACAATACCACACAAAGACCTATTATACAATACCACACAAAGACCTATTATACAATACCACACAAAGACCTATTATACAATACCACACAAAGACCTATTATACAATACCATACAAAAGACCTATTATACAATACCATTCAAAGACCTATTTTACAATACCATACAAAGACCTATTATACAATATCATACAAAGACCTATTATACAATACCGTACAAAAGACTATTGTACAATACCGTACAAAGACCTGTTATACAATACCGTACAAAGACCTATTATACAATACCACACAAAGACCTATTATACAATACCATACAAAAGACCTATTATACAATACCATACAAAAGACCTATTATACAATACCACGTTGT